TTGAATTATCTACACTAAAATGTGTAGGTGTTGAAATGCACGCATTTAAATCAGCAATACCATATACACGAATGACAATTACTCTTATAAAGAATAATTTTCCTAATAGACAATTTATTTGTTAGTTAAAAATATTTAATTGAAATCCAAATAGTGCATAATTAATTATTGAAAAAGAAACAAAAACAAATTTATTAAAGATGAAAGCACATAATTAACATGAGCAATTTAACTTCTGTTACAGCATCGTAAACCAAATTGTAAAGACAAATCTTGCTGTTCGCTTTTCTGGTTGTAAATAGAATTTTATAGTCTAAATACATTTATTATGCATATAAACATAAGTATACGTGTATGTAACCTTTTTTCACAAACCTATATTTTTTTAAATGATATATAGTAGAGAAACTAAAAAAAACTCAGTACATGTAGTATTAACATTCATTGGAAATGATTAATTATTTGATCAACTGATTAATTGATTGATTGTTTGTTTATTGCTAAACGCAGAGTCAGCAGTATTTCAGCCATATTAAGAGAAACATTGAAAAAGCAGAAAAATCTACAAAGTGCATAAATTAAGTAATCTTAAAACATAAATGAAAGCTAAAAATTGATATCTGCAAAGCATATTCAGAATGGCATAGGATTACAACTTTTTCACTTACTTTTTTTTCTTCGGCTGATTTGTAAGCTGGTTTAAGCTTATACTTTTATAAATATCCAAAGTGTGAGGAAATATTTACGAGGAAAAAATAGTTCTTTAATATGCTATATTTATCCAGTTTGATTAATCCCTAACTTCTGTATTTTTTAGCTGAAAATTGCTAGAACTTGGGTCACCTGAGTCAATCAGATGACCTATTGCTATCTGTTTTCGGGTACCAATTGCGCCTTTTTATTAGCAGACCTATTTTTGTATTCCTTTTTGTATTCATATGAAGCAAAATTTATTTAGAAACTTCTACATAAGAAGAAGAAAACACTTGCTGTGGCCTTCAACTCGACATTTCGATATATCGATATATCGACGACGTATTATCAATTAACAATATTTACTTTCATTCATATGTCTACTCGATATATCCCAGTTAGCTTGAAATAAAAGATACCACAGATTCTGACACATCTGTTATATATTTAGATATTTTACTAGAAAAGACGTTAATGTAACCTAAGAACAAAGCTTTATGGTAAACGTGATGACTTCAACTTTCCAATTGTCAACTTCCCTTACTTATGTAGCAATATACCCTTATCACCTGCATATGGAGTTTATGTCTCTCATTTGATTCGATACGCAGGAGCATGCTATTGTCAAACAAGTTGACGAAACAAGGATATCAACAGTCTCGTTTGAAGTAATCTTTTTGCAAGTTTTTCGCAAGTTTTTCGGTCGATACAATGACCTTGTCAGCACATACAACCTGTCTTTGAGTCAAATGCTGACTGACGTTTTTCATACTGATTGTTATGCCATTATTTATACACTGAACTGTCTACGGATATTTCCAGTTTTTGTTTCCCGATCATGACAAGGAGCACACGTCGGGTGTGACCGGTCGGCAGGGGATGCTCACTCCTCCATGGCACCTGATCCCCCCTCTAATTTTTTTAGGTCCATGTTTGCTCTGCTCCAAATTCGTATCGTTTCATTGGATTTTCGAGATTAAATACTGTTCATTATTTTCATATTTCATTGCTAAAACGTTCACCGTGAGTTTTCAAAATCCTGGCTTTAAACAAGGTTTTTGACATTCTTGTAGCATCAATTTATTAGTCAGTAGCCTGTCTCGGTTTAGTTATTGATTGCGCACGCAGAGAATGCCCCTGCATTTCATGATTTTCAACACTTACACATTTAAGTGTAGATAATTCATTAATACATCAAAATATCAAAGAAAATTGTATAAAAATTGTGAGTTTAAGCCTTTCAAGCCTTCGTTATAACCATACCATTGTTCTTTCATTAAAGGTGCTTGGACACAGATTTGAAGTTAATATTTTCTCAAATTTTCTGTATAATTTCATGACTTATATGTTGCTCTAGCATTTCATACTAAAATATAATAAAAATCTTCTTTCATCTCGAAGTTATCAAAACTTCGAATTTCTGGACGAGTTGGATTGACACATCTTTGCGCTTGCACATATTTTAATTTTATTCTAAATACTTAAGAAAAGTGGCAATTTTGCTGTGTATTAATGAAAAATATTAGAACTATAACCCAGAAAATTCAGAGTAGAAATGTTCGAAAGCAAAACCCACTCACAGTATTGTAAGTCCGTGCTCAGTGGTGTGTGCAGAGTTTAGCAATTGAACACACCCGGTGAATCGTAAACATTAAGAATAACAGAGCTCGTGCCCTGTTTACAAAAACAGTTTACGTTTCACGAGTGTGTTCAATTTGTTAAAGTCCGTACACATCACAGAGCATGGACCGACAACACTGGTGAATTGGTTTTGCTTTCGAACATTTCTATCTCTGAATTTTCTGGATTATAGATGTAATATTTTTCATTTATACATAACAAAATCGCTTCTTTTCTAAAAATTAAGGATGAAGTTAAAATTTGTGTAAGTGCAAAGATGTGTTAATCAAACGTGTCCCGGAATTCGTAGTTCCAATAATTTCCAGATAAAATAAGTTTTTAATTATATTTTCGTGTGAAATGTTATTGCAATATATAAGTCTTGATATTATACAGAAAATTTTAGAAAATATTAAGTTCAAATCTGTGTCTAAGCACCTTAAAGTTGAAGAAGATTTGGGACATATATACCATTTGCAGGTGATGGTGGGATATAACTAAATAAATAAGGAAAGTTGATGATGGAAAAGTTGAAGTCATCTGATTTGGCATACAGTAATAGTGGCGAATTGGCAACTATCGTTTATAGTTAGTAAAGCATAAGAATATGAAGCAGATGTGGTAGACTCTGTGGTGTCTTTTTTTTAGCTCACTTGGATATATCGAGTCCACATATAAATGAAAGCAACTATCATATCTTTCTTTAAATAAATTTCCTTCTTTGTTTTTAATCAATTTTTATTCAATTTTTTTACTAATAATTTTTGAGGAATTTATTTTCTGTGATACCTCTTTGTTTGCTTTTATGAATTTGTTATAAAGTTTTGACCTCTGTAACTTTATTAATAGGCAAGTCGAACACCAGTTTTAAAATTAGTGGAAATGTGTGACTTCATCGAACATTACCCTTTTGTTGAAGTCAAAAGTCAAAGCTTTGAAAGACTAATAAACTACTACATGTTACAAAGTTATGAAGAACAGAAGAATTTTGTTGGACAAGCACGCTTTTAGAATTATAGTAAATCTATTAAAATCTCACTCAGATAACCTCCTTTTATTTCTTTTCGTCAAGCCCTTTTCCGAATAGACTAAATTAAAGAAGAGTTGCACTAGGATGAAATCATTTAAGAATATAAAAAACACTTGCTCCTGAAATGTCAGGACTAATAAAAAAAAGTGTCCTCATAATATTCAGAAAAGGTTAAATCTACCTATCTCATGACTAAAGATGGCAATGTCGGTTGATTCAGAGGAATGGACAGAGTATGAAATGTGATGATAATGAATAAAAATTTATTCAGGCTCAAAATTTGATTTAAAAAATATACAGAGAGCAGGACAAACACGAACCACTGTAAACATTCCATAGTCGAATTCCATATAGGAGTAAGAATTCCGGTCAGATCCGCCTTGAGCCACTTGTCTAGATCAAGTAAAGGGAGTAATTCTCAGACAAATCAGTATGAAAACTGGCTTAACATTCGTCTCAACAGTAGGTTGTATTACAAACAAGTTTATTGTTTAGACTTTAGAAATGTTTAAAGGAGATTGTTGCTACTCCTGTAAAATCAAGTAATTTGTCAGTTGAGATTCTAGGTTCAAGAAAACATTTCCTTCTAAATACTTTTTTTTGGCAAAAATATTAAATCCTTTTAAAAACTTAAGAATATACCTCGTTTATGTTAAATTTTGACCTTTTCATATTTGGTTACTATGGAACTCTATATTTCTTTTAATATAGCTTACCAAAATATTTCCAGCAGAGAAAACTCAACATTTAAAAGGGAAATTTCTTAGAATCATAAGAATTTAAGTGCATATGAGCTCAGAACCACAGAAATATTATTCCATTATACCACTCTTGTTCTTCAAACCAAAATCACAGCCATATATGTTGACAATTTCTGTATTACATGTATGTCTTCCAGAGTAAGAGTTACTTCACTGTATACCTTTACAAAAAAACAAAAACGAATGGTTTGCTTGCACTTTATTTCTAAAAGATACAAAATATTTTATGTATACATTAAATTATTTAGATAATTTATGCACTGGTATAAAAAAATTAAATAAAAATGGTGTCGTTGTTTATCCCAAGTTTTCAAAAATTTCTAAAAGATACAAAATATTTTATATATACATTAAATTATTTAGATAATTTATGCACTAGTATAAAAAATTTGAATAAAAATTGTGTCGTTCTTTATCGCAAGTTTTCAAAAATTTCTTACTGGGTTGCTGCCCAGAATAATTGACCACATCTCACAAGACGGGGATTGAAATACTTCGAATTCCGACCAAAATGCACTCGTAAAACTTTGCTGTATCATTGAAATTTCCGATTATAGTTTAAACAAACAATATACATGAAGCAAAAGAAATTACGCACTAGCTTCCCTGGACCCCTTTGTAGCAGCTGATTATTAATTGAAATTTCAAACATTTATAAAAACCAAAAAATTAATATTTTAATTCATGTTAAAAAAGAAAGAGAGAGAAATTCTCTCTAATATTAATCCTTTTAGTTTATATTTAAATAAAAGATCAATTAAGTTATGAACAAAATAATTGGACACTGTTATACATATCTGGGCAAAAAACAAACCCGTTTCTCCAGTCTATGATCTTTGTTACCTCCAAACATAGGGGAGTTAACCCTTTGCGATCAATTAGATTAAAAAAGACGGTTACATTTTATTCTCCCCACTAGAGGAGGATAAGCTGTCTAACAAAATGTTAAATATAGCTTTTACATTCAAGTCGTATTTAGCACTTGATTCCACCAGGAGACATTTTGGCTGCCATCCTACAAAACGACAGGCGGAAACTGTAGATACCTTTCTATCGATAGAGTCCAGCTTATTCCCAACGAGCAAAATGTGTTTGAATTCGCCCCCTGAAATATAATAAATTGGCTTGTTTATATCATTCAGTTGAATCATAATGTAATGAAATACGAAAATGTCTTTGATAATGCTATTGGTGGTTTACGAAGGTATTTTAATGAGTCTTATATATTAATTAGTAGTTAGTAATTTAAAACAAAATGTAAGTCAAAATAGGTATTTTGTGATATTCCTTGAAATTATACAAATAAATTACCGCCTCCAGATCATGCGAGCTTTTAAAAATATATTTTCCTTGGATATTAAAATAAAAATAGGATAATAAAAAGTAGAGATCTGGTGCAGTTATTCCAGCACTGTAAATACTGGTTCCACGACTTGCTTTGTTTATGACAATAGTGATTTGTTCATAATAAATTGATACATGTATTAAAGAACAATATAGGAACTTGGTTAATACTGCCAAACGTTTAATTTTATGAGTACACCACTGTACCGAAGTTTCAGAGCCCGAAAATAATTCATATTTAATATAATACAAAGTCAAAATTTGATAAAAGTTCATTTTTTCTAGTCCAGATGTGTTGGTGTAGATATAAAATACCAATTTTAAATCTTATTATTATTATAAAAACATAAAAAGTAACTATGTGAACAAGACAGTATGGAAAATATACAAACAGAAATGTATTGGATCTAGGTTCTAGAATGACTTGGGGGGGGGGGGGGGCACAAGTAAGGCAATTTCATGCACATAATGTCTTTGTGAGGTCCGTTTCTCTGGTAAACAATTTCAATAATGAGCAATAAAGAAAATACCTCCCCTCTGACTATCCATTCGAAGTAATTTAAATTTGATTTTAAAAAGTTATCTCACCTTTTATTTGACGAATCCGCTCGCATAAACTTTTGGCCAATAGAAATGATCGTTCGTTATCTATAGCGTAGACAACCACTAATGCTTGAGCTTGACTAATTCTTAAATCAATCATGGCGGAAAATTCCAGAAGTCCTGATGTATCAACGACCTCAAAACGCCCACAGTGTCCACCTGTGACCAAAGAAAATTAGATATTCAACGAAAGGGATTTTGTACAATGTAATTACTGGGAAATATAAATATTTCAAAATATTTCTTTAGAAATAAAACCCTGTAAATTTGTTCCTAAAGGGAACTCCTAAACACTAATGAATATTTTTTTTTTACTTAATTTTGAGAAAATAGTGTATAAAGGTGCACATAGTTTATTTAGTTCATTTTCAACATAAGATATCTGCCTTTCTTTTTCTCCAAAAAAAATATTCTAGGACAACGAAGTGTTAGTGTATAGAAAGAAAGAATGAAGGCAACGAGCATTGATCGATCTCAAAAAATCTGGAAACAATACAAATCTGTGAACAGGGCTTAAAACACGAACCTCCGGAAATCCCAAGGGTGGGATCCGGTGCCAATTGCAAGTATGAGTAAGCATCCCCTTTTGACCGGTCACACCCGCTGTGAGCCCCATGTATTGATCAGGTAGACGGAACATTCCGTGGTCAATTTCAGTATAAAAACAAAGGCCTAACATCAACTTACATAGTTCTGTTAGTAGCTTTCCTCAGTTTGAAAATTAGGCATGCTCTTGAATATCGAATAAGTTAAAGACGTAAACACCATATTCAGGTGATAGTGGAATTTTACTATGTACATGTAAATACGTAAAGTTGAATGTTATCTCATTTACCGTACAATTTAGTTGTTAGTTTGTTTTTATTGTCTATTGTCAGTAAAACATCCAAATATGAAACAGATGTGGCGGACTCTGTGATGCGATTTATTTCATGTTTACTGGGATATATCGAGTCGACATGTGAATGGAAGTAACTATTGTCTGTTGAAAAAAATGTTCTCGATATATCTGAATGTCGTTTTGAAGGCCACAGCAAGTGATTTCTTCTTCTCGTGTAGAAGCCTTTGAATATAACTTTTTCTTCATAGGAAGATAAAAACAGATCGGCTAATAAAAGAGTACAATTAGTGTCCAGCAAAATTCCAACAATGTTGGAAGACCAAGTTTCCGAAGACTACATAAATGTTGTTAATGAGGAACTCCAGCATCCTTTTAATATCAACTTCAGAGTAGTTGTATGTAGAATCAGAGTGATTTTTAACAAAGTACGTAATTTTCTTGATGACTTATGATACGATAAGAAAATTCCTGAGTTTTATTTTTGTCGAAGAAGCAGTCGTCCCTTATATCAAAAACCTATTTTTAAAATTTATTTTCGGGAATGGTTGTATAAAAGGTAGAAAAGTAACAGGGTTTGATGTTACTGACATTTGAAAATTCGGTGATTTTAAATTTTCTAAAAGTTCTTTGGAGTTTTTGAGAATCCACATCTGATAAACCCCAGATTTTAGAATATACTGTAGTTTCTCCTTGACAGCAGTTAAAAGTTTTGTAAGAATAAAGGCTTGTTGTATCATTTGCTGAACCCGGCAATGTTTTATTTGTTTGTAGGGATGTTATGAAGTTTAGGAATCCACTATAGGTATGCATCTTTGTGAGGATTTTTGAAGTTACGGAATCCAGTAGGCCTATAGGCAGGTCGTACTCATCTTGAATGACTGGAATGTTAGAAGTATTAAACACTGAAGTGTGATTTTGAAGAATTTGATACTTAGAAAGTGAACTGTGAGCATAAGATGGATTTCCAGACGTAGAATTTAAACTAAATTCGTAGAAAATCTGGTGTTTTGCTACCATTAGATATATGCAAATAATGTATTCAATTACTTAATCTTTGTTTTTTATATTATGCTAGAAATTCAAATCATGTCATAAAGTGTAGATTTCTGTTTATTTCATCTAACATTAAATAACAGATCACTATAACTGCATAATATTAGAGCTCCTCAGTCAGCAGTGTATAGAGCTTCAGTAGTAAAAATTAATTTCAATATGATTATGAAACAGTATTGATTAATCTATATTATTGTACACCTGATCAATACATAGGGTTCACGATAGGTGTGACCGGTCAACAGGGGATGCTTACACTTCATAGGCACCTGATCCCACCTCTGATGTTCCAAGGGTTCCGTGTTTTTGCCGTGTTTACGATCCGTTTTGTTTACTGGATCTATGAGATAGACCACTGTTCATTATCTTTACCTTTTACATTTATCATTTTGCTTGATAAATGAACAATTCGTCATTTGAAATGTCCAGAAAATGAAATGGCCAAAGTGAATGTGATAGCAAACAAAATTTTTTACATCAAATGCAGCAATTGTGTTTATAAAGAAATAATTTTATGTATTCTCTACAAACCGGGGGACATATGTCATTTAAATTTTGTATAATGAGATGGCAAATTAAGTTGTTAGATCTTGTGCACAAACTCATTGTACACATTTATTTTAACATTCACAACTTCTGGGCCTCCGACAAGTGGAAAAAGAAGAGGTGTTTTTCGTGCTTGGCGTAAAGACCCGACAAGCTGCGATTGGTTAATTACAATGAATGTTCAAATCAATAAAAGAGGAAAATGTACATTTACATGAGAAAGTTCAAGAGGATAGTTCACACAAGCGTATCGCACGTCTCAATGCATGTACGTATGTTTGGGCTAAAATTAACATACATTTCGCACACTTTTAACTTTAATTATCCATTTTTAACAAAAACTTTAATAGCGATTCTCTGTAACCACTTAAACTTCTTTGCCACGCATGGTCACCGATTTTGATGAAACTTTGCCCAGTATTACCACTTAACACCAGAAACATATATCAAATAAAATTTCGTTGCTATATGTCTTGGTTGAAATGGTAACAGCCAGAAAAGTTGAAAAAAATTGAGGTTTTTAGCTACTTGAATCTTTATTGAGCCTTAATAAAGACTGAGAAAAACAAACAAACCATTCTCCCAAAAACATGACACCTTGTTGCCATTTATGCTATAAAGAAACTATTTACAATTTATCTCTAAGTAAGTGGTAATCATGGGTACATTTGGAATACATTGTAGATGCTGAAAAATGCTGGAAAAACGCTCTATATTCACGAATGATAGATGTTACATGATCAAACTCAATCAACAACTTAAGAAAAACAATAAAAAATATTTGACTTTAAGTAATCAGGTATTGGCAATATTATTCTAAAAATAACTTTCATGGTTGCCATGGTCACACAGTGTTACCATGCAAAATCTGTTGCTATGATTGGGTTAATGCTACTATCTTGAGGTAAAACAATAAAATTCATGACTGGCAAATATACATCCTTAGGACCTTGCAACACCGACAACATAAGAAAAATTGGGATTAATTGTTTCTTTGCAGTGTAACCATGGAAACAACGTACTAGTTGTTTATAGTGATATTTTTGCTGCTTTATGAATTTACTTACCTTTTAATCAAGAAACATAGTATTTGACTAACCTTGAATAGTACTTATCTGGTAGAGCTAAAGTGAAATATCGTATATTAATAAGTTTGTTGAAAAATACAACACTGTTGCTATGGTTACAAGAAGAGAAAATGTTCGATTTTGATAATTTTATGTGCCAGCTTTTTGCATCCAGTTAGAGATTGGGTGGTAGTCAAAATTGAAAGTCAGGTTAGTTGTTCATATATATCAATCATTAAAATTTGGGAATCTACATACAAGGGTACGTATCCAAGGAAACAGAATATTTTTCAGATTTTTATGCATGCTTTTTTGCCTTATTTCCATAGCAACGCTCTATTTAAAGAATTGAATTTGAATTTTTGAAATGTGAAAATTAAAGCCACACTAACGGCTTTAAAAACTGATCATCAGTTAGATAGAAATATGCTTTTTAAAAAGATAGGATGAGAGTAAAACACTAAGAGAGTAAATTTAAAATCCCTTACTGGTATTAAAACCATGACAACCATTGCCAACCTGTAAGAAATATGATATTTCGTCCTTGGTATATGTTACAAGAATCTTTTGTCTATTATTTGCTTGTTTTTATTCTTAAGTGTATGACTTAATAAATTTAAATGAACAAAATTATTACTTTTGAATACTTTGTTTCCATAGTAAAGTATGTAATAGTTGATTTACTAAACATATTTATCATGCATTTAAGATACCAGGCCTTCAACTTTCAGAAACAGTCATTGCCACTTGTTTGCTTTGCTGCAAACGTTAACTGTGGGACTCTGAACATAATGAAAAATGTCATTTTTCAAACTTTAGGACATGTTGCTATGGTTACCATGACACGTAGCAACCAATTTTTGTCTGATTTGAATTTACGATATCAAAGACTTTTATCATAGAGAGTTTGGAGAAATTCTGAGACTATGCGTGCCACAGCTCCTATATAAAAGTTCAAGTCATTACAGCTAGAGAATGGCTCTTAATCTCTAAAGATACAACTGTTGAAAACTGCTAATGATAAAGTATCTACTTTGAAGGTTAAACTTTATAAGGTTTGTAATTTTCCATAAAATTTGACTATATAAAAGAAGCTAAAGGTATGGTTTCTCTTGTAAATGTACATTTTCCTCTTTTGCAACGAGATATATAGAAATATTTATTATTAACATCGGATAACCACACGTGGCATCCTTTCGACGAAAAAATGAATCTTCCTGAAAGACTAGTTTTGCCTGGCATAAAGGTTATTTTAAAATACCGAAATCCGAAGTCAATGTTTCTATACATCAGACGCCATTCTTTTATCCTAGGAGATCCATCGTTTTAAAATTAGGAAATATTCATCTAATCATTAAAATTTGTTTTCTCACTGTCATGGACCATATCTTTTATAATCCTTCTGTTTTTAACTTTTAGGAAAAAAATAAAAAATTTAAATAAAAAAATATTTTTAAAGATAATTGATTTTGTTTGAAAAAAAATATTTAAGAACTTTTAAAAAGTACCTGAATCATAGAGTAGGATTCCCCGAGTGGGACACCCCCCCCCCCGGAAATTTCATTCTTGAGTGGGATCTCAACCCCCACCTCCTCTTTGAGAACAGTCTTTCTCGAGTGAAAAATCCTATTCTAAAGCCAATTTCCGTCCTTCATTTCGAACCAGAATGGGATACCCCCTTGCATAATGCTGATAAATTATTTTATATAGGTGGTAGTGAACAAATTGAAATACCTTTCAAAGGAAATTAGTTCATTTTATATGCTAATGAATGGCGGAAAATGGCTATATAGTAGGATTTCATCTTGGGGAAAGACTGCTCTAGAGAATGATTTTTTATGAAAGGTGGGGTGAGATCTCACTCAAGAAGCTGATTTCCGGGGGGGGGGGGGGGGGGGGAGGGGGGCTTACTATTGGGGAAATCCGACTCTTTATCACCGGTACTTTTAAAAGCATTTTTCACGTTCCTAAATCTCTCTCTCTCTCTCTCTCTCTCTCTCTCTCTCTCTCACATTATTCTTCTGTTGCTAAAATATAGTGTAATTTCGATGTCATAAAATATATTTTTTTAAAAAGAATATTGTAATTTTTCCCATCGTATTAAGAAAATAACATTATATAAATGAAGGGAGTTACTAACAGGGGAGGGGAGACTTGCTCTGGGGAATTTATACTCTTCAAAGCTTACCCCTCGAAAAACCTACTGTAGCGTGCGATTCCAGTAGGGGATTATGGATGTATATGATCCCAAAACTAAATTTTGTTTTAGGAAAACTATGGATTTTTTTCAATTCTCAGTTGCAAATAGGAAACACACAAGTACGATTTTGGTTTCATGACAGAGAGTGAAAAGGTGTCCTAGATATGTCAACAGAAATGTAAGATATGAAGAAATTTTCATATTATCATAAAACAACACTAATTGTATTATGGAAACTGATTTTGATATTCCTGAATAAAGTAAACAATTTTTCCTCATTTTAAGCTACGAATTACAAATACAATGATGTCTTGACAATGATTTGCTGATATATTGATCGCTTGTTTCATGTATTTTTTTTTCTCACATACATGTGTACGTGATATTTAGATTTGATATTTATCTTTTCAAGACAAACAATACTGCATCATTGCACATTACAAATATTCGCACGTAGATCTTTATTTAAAATCAGTGTTGGTAATTTTCCTTTAAAAGTGTGAGAAGCAGCTTAGTTTTTTATTCTCTTTGATGAAAATTGGTTCATTCTTATTTTTCAAAACTTGCATGAAAGACTTTAAGGTAATCTTCATGATATGTGTCCTACATTCTAAATGTATACGTTTGGATATGTGTTCAATTATTTGAAGTAAACTTACATAAAAGAATTTTCGGTCACTTGAAATTTAATAAATCAAAAGACATGCCATGTATCGGACATAATAAAACATTGAAATATTCTGTGGAAAACAACATATTAAAGATTACATATTCATCAATTATAAATATAAGAATTGTTTGTAAACTCTTTAGATACCAGCCATATTAGTATGTTCAGGCTTACAAGTACGTTGTCGACATTTTTTCACAAAGATAAATACATCTATTTTACCTGGTAGAGCAAGTTTGTAGAAATACATCTCTTCAACAGTCGGTGTGTATTTTTCTTTAAAATCGTTATGAACACATCGCTGAATAATAGACGTTTTGCCCACTGCGGGACCTCCAAGAAAAACAATTTTAAAAACATTTGATGTCTTTGGATCCATTTCCAAGATTTAAAATGTATGATGAAGATTAGAATAAGGTTTGTCTTATAAGTGATAATTAAATCCCAGAAGAGCTGTGGAAAATGTCAAACATTTTTCTATTGCATATTGGTAAATATGGTGTTAATTGTCATTTCATAAAACTTGAAGGTTTGACTCATTTGTGATAGTTTTGTATTTTAAGAAAAATGTCGCGCAACAAAGCGTCTAAAAGAAATCATTATGACCATTTCACAATATTTAAACATTAAAAGAAAATAAGTACTAGTATTTCAAAGATGGATAAGTCTATAGACTGCATTATAAATGTCTAAGAGTGTGACATTAGTGGTAAATAATATATAGCAATTAAATACATGTACACGTATGATTTTGATCAATTTAAATTTGAATACGGATTTCTCCGTTTACAAGATCGATGCAAAGAGTTCACGGAGGGTGTGACTTTGGATGCCTACTCCTCCTACGCACCTGATGTACAATGTATATAAGGACCAATTTTTCCCCTTTCACGATTGGTTTTCTTTACTGGATCTATAAGATTGATGACTGTTCATTATCTTTACCTTTTACATTTCATACATTTTGTAGCGAACACTCCTTTATAGGTAAAACCTTAAGCACCACCTTCAAAAATACCTTGTCTGTGTACCCCTGTCAATCAAGTGCATTAAGGTACATCATTGGGTGCTAGAACTTGATTGACATTTACTTTCTAGTATCAGTGTATACCCTGTACACCTTGTTTGGCACTCGTGGAAAACTTCAAATTAACTTTTGATCCTTTGCTATTTACTTCACATGGTATTGAGAAGTTGTATTACTATGAAATTTTTAGCTTGATTATATATACATACATACCTTTAGTAATTGAAATAATTATAATATTCTTCATGTTAATATATCAAAATTTGGTATAATAATTTATTTTGAAAAGCTCAACAAATATTTAATTAATATTTTTTTAATGAATGGGGATGCTTTGACACACATTCAACATGTTCAAATAGAAATTAATAGAAAGTATTGAGATGAAACTTTATTTATAACTTTATACTAATTTAAAATCGTCTCAAAATCCCAACACAAGTAAAGTTTGACTTCTTGGGTATTTTACTGTGTATTTAATAGCTTCTTGTGTATAGGGATTAGGAGACAAACGACCACAGGTAGACTGCTAGCCTCAAGGCATTCATACCTGTACAAAATAAGCCCCTTGATACATTCTTTTGAGTTTTGAACTCTGATCATTATAGACAGGTAAATTCTGATCATTATAGACAGGTTAATTCTGATTATCTTTCTTAAAGTAATATGGGTCCATAACTTTGTGTGCATTTTGCGAGAAAAATATTTGACACACAGATGCATTTTTTTCCACCTTACTCAAAATTATAGTGCATGTTTCTGATAATTACAAAATTCCAATTCCAACTCTGTAATTCTTGAAATGTCCTCATATACTAGTATATGATAAACCTTAATTTGAATAAGTTGTAAATCACAATTTAATAATTTGTCGATTGTACTGTCACAATTTCTGAATTGTATCTGTCCAACATATCTTGTAATGTGTGAAATGTAGGTGTAAGTTATTTCAATGCTGAAGTGTAATTTTTAGACTTGCACTTTGTCAACTTTCAAATTTTTGTTAATTATGCAATTTGCATTACGCTAACGCCTATTAAGACTAAAGAGGGCGCTAAACAGATGGCAAGTTATTTCACTACTAAAATATTTAAGCATTTTCCCAATTCGTGATCTCACATAGATATAAAGAAAGGCTAGAAAAAGCCGTTTAAAATAGGGCTAAAATAATTTTACATATGTCCTCAAAATGAATTGCTAGTATTGAATTTACTTCATATTTTCAATTTCAAAATGTTTTTGGAATACCTTTTCTCCCGTCCCAGTGGTGGAATCACCGTGAGATTTTCAGTTAACTAATTTTATCTGGTAAAATAAACAAGAAATGATCTTGGAAACGTTCCCCCACCCCACCCCATAGGAAATATGGACTCCTCAAAAGCAAGAAGTGTCATATACATTTTAGGAAATCTGCTTATCCATCAGAACTACACCCCTCCCCCTCACAAAAAATACGTACCTCATAGGTCGGAAAACTACTTTTGAGTAAACACGCCGCCCCCGTTAGGAAAAATTCCTGAGCTATATATATATATATATATATATATATATATATATATATATATATATATATATATATATATATAGACAAATGTATTTGTAGAAATAACTAATTTTGGTATACAGTGTTTTAAATTAGATATTATGTGAAGTGATGCTGAGTGCGTTTTCTTAATATTTTTCTTCAAACTCATATAAACACGAAGGATGGACTATTTTGTGTTAATTAATAATTATTAATAAACTTTATCAGAGTTTAATATAAACATCGTACAAACGCCCAAGAAGGGTGAATTTCCCTATTTGCAGACCTCAAAGAGTTTGTATGAAAAAAGTGAGGATAAAGAACGGTGATCGTTCTTAAGAAAAATCTACAAACAATACAAATCTGTGAACAGGGCATATAATACGAACCCCCGGAAATTCCAGAGGTGAGTTCAGGTGCCTAAAAGAAGTAAGCCTCCCCTGTCGACCGGTCACGCCCGCCGTGAGCCCTATTTATTGATCAGGTAGAGGGAACAATTATCCATAGTCAGATTTAATATGTAAACAAATCCCAAACCATTCGTATGAAACATGTCAACCAAAATACGACCAAATGATAGGTCATTATAAAGTCCATAGAATTTACAAAATGCTGACTTTAAGCGAGGTTGTTGAAATCCCTGTAACATCAACTTATCTGTTAGTAGCATGCCTCGGTTTAAAAATTGATCGTTCTCAGAACATACTCTTGAGTATTGAATAAAATGGGAGACGTAAACACCATATGCAGGTGATAGCGGATCAATTAATATTACTACATAAATAAGGAAAGTTGACGATGGAAAAGTCGAAGTAATCTAGTTTGTCATACAATCTGGTTGTTAGTTAGCCCCTATTGTCTATAGTCAGTATAGTCTATAGTCAGTAAACATCCAAAAATACAGATTGGGCAGACTCTTTGGTGTCTCTTATATCGAGTTTACTGGGATATATCGAGAGGACAAATGAATGGACGTAACTATTGTCAATAGATAAATGAGGTCGATATATCTGAATGTCGAGTTGATCGAAGGCCACCTCAAGTGTTTTCTTCTTCTCGTGTAGAAGTTTTTGAATAACTTATTCTTCATAGGAATATAAAAAAGGCTCGGCTAATAAAAGAGCAAAATTAGTGCCCATTGGAATTCCAACAGTTTGTTGGAAGACCAAGTTTCCGAAGACTACATAAATGTTGTCAATGAGGAACTCCAGCATCCTTTTAATATCAATTTCAGAGTACTTTACTTGTGTATAGAATCAGAGTGATTTTTAGCAAAGTAATTTTGTTGATGACCAATCACAATGATATGGAAATTTCCGACTTCCATTTTTATTGAAGAAGCAGTTGTCTATGATATCAAAAAGCATAATTTTACATTACTAAGTTGATTTCAGATTGCGATTACATTACTAAATTTTGACTTGCTCCGCGACCCCATTTTTTTTTTAACAGTTTTATATTTTCAATAATTTTGAATTATGTCACGATATATTTCATTTTTTTTTATTTATTATTGAAATATTCAATATTTAATATGGTTTCGTACAAAATTCGATTCAATGCAGAAGCCTTTTTAGCTTTGAGACGAGAGCCACCCGTACAGAGTCCTCTTTCGTCTTAATAGGCGTTAGCATAATGCAACGTTGCATAATTTACAAATCTTGAAAGCACAGTTTACTTTTCACAAGTTGACGAAATCGCAAGTCAACGAACGGATTTTTCAACTTAGCATTGCCCTAACTTGCATTTACATTTTACACATGACAAGTTAGTTGAATAGTACAATTAACAAATTATGATAAAATAATTGACAAATCATGAAATTGATATTTACAATCTACAAATTAAAGTTTCCATGTGCAAAAAATTCACAGCGTTATTCATCTTTTAGCACAAATTATCACCGAAATCATTCTCTTTCATGTATTACCGTTTATTTCAAAACTAGAAACCAAACACACATAGTTTTTAAACCAATCAAAGCAAAGAAGAAAATTAAAGAATGAAAGCATAACAAAATTTAAACATACATATACGATAAACCAAAAAAGTATATTATGAATACTTAAATAACGACTGCACATTCATGAATGAGAAAACGAAATATATATATATATATATATATATATATATATATATATATATATATATATATATATATATATATATATATATATATATATATATATATATTCTGCATGTTTTTCATGTATTTTGCACTTGGTGGCAACATTATTATTATTATTATTTCTTAAATAAACAATTGGTAAGACTGGAAAGGTATTGCACATAGATAAGAATTAGTCGCGAAATACGAGGTATTGAAACATACATTCTTCTATTTAATTTGAAACAAGTAGAATGATTGGGCATGCTAAATTCCTAAATACTAGTCAGGATTTATTGGAGTTGAATTCAGAGCAATTAAGTAACATTTTAATTTACTTTCCTTTAGTGCATTGGATATTGATTACTTATACAATTTTATGTTCAAGCGAAAGTTTATTAGTGCAAATTTTATGCACTATAATATTATTTCCATTTACGATGAACTGTTAAGAACAGGTGTTCATAAGATAAACATGAAGACCTTCATTAGTATTTCCGATGTTTGTTGTATATATATGGGAGGACAGAAAATGAATTCTCACGTCGTGTCAACGACAGCTTGACTCGATTTCAAAGCTCTTGTCATTCGAAACATGCTCGTGTACTCTTCAAATACGGCTCCAGTATCGGCTCCACCAAATTACTGAATCAATGACGAAGACTTTATTTGCAGTCTGGATTTCAATGTATTCCTGTAGCCTCTTATCTACGATGGTTT